TCGTAATTGGGCCGATCAGTCGCTCGATGACGACCTGGACGATGAACCCACAGACTCCGGGGCGGCACCATCCGGTTCTTCGAGATCTAGGACACCGCCACCAAAGCCCCTGGCAGTCAAGCCCCCGCCACAATGCATTCGCGAGGACCCGTCTCAACGTAAACCACAATATGTTGAGTCAGGGCGGGTTGAAGAGTTCCTTCCTCACGGATTCTTCACAACGCCCCCGCCCGGACCTCGAAAGCCTCCACCACCGCCACCACCGGCTCAGGTGCCAAAACCCAAGCCGATGCCTGAGCGACCACCGCGGTCTTCGAGCCCTGCTCCCGCAACCATCGCACAGGAGGCAACAGGCAGAGGCAGAGGTCACGGGTATCCGCCACCTCCTGCACCTTCCGCAACCGCGCCTCGCGCGGAGGAAGACCCTGCAGAAGCAGAACCAAGTGGCGGTAGCCTTGCGCCCCCAAATCGTGGCGAACCACCTCCTCCCATGACTCCAGATGACGATTCCCTGCCAACACGGGATCGCTATTTAGAGTTGTGGCAAAACGCCAATCACGTGTTTGATCAGCAGATGTGCGACCCACTCACGTTGACGCCACCCGGTTTGCCCCAGGAGTTGGAGGTCGGCCTTGATTTCCATAAGGTTCTAGATGCAATGCTAGTTCCTAAAATAGAGGTACCGACCCGCCAATGCATTGACGCCCTCATCTCCCTCGAGCGTCTTGGTGCCAGAATCACCATTATATCGTTCACGGGGCACGAAGGCTATTTGCGTGCTGCCTCTCAAACGCAGCACTTCCGAGACTGCGCTCGCGCAGCGGGGCTCCGTATGGGCGGAGGGATATTTTTAACTAATGCTAAGGTTGGCCCTCAGGGCAAGACCCCAATAATCACATCTAACGGCATCTGCGCATACGTAGATGATGACCCAGCCATTTGCAACGAGGCCAGACGCACCGGTTGCTACGTGTACCAATGCGATGCCTCGCGCCTCAACCAGCCGCATTCGGTCCTCCTTGATCTCGCTAACATGATAAGATCAAGAGGCATCCACAACTGGAAGCTGGCACATTTTCCTAAGGCACTGCAATCTGGCGAGTTCTCAGGCGAACCGAATCCCCACGGAGGAGGTCGCCGGAGACCAAGGGTCAGATAGCCGTCCTACAAGCCAGTAACCGCTGCTTTGCGCGGTCACTTTTCGTTCGTAGGACTGTTAGTTAGGTTGAGTGCAGTGAAACTGCAATCTCAATATCTTCAAGCCATTCTAGTTGAACTTTAGGTTATGCATCCAATTTTAACGGCTTCCAGCCCTAACTGGGGCTTTTCCAAATTGGAACTGGGCCCTGAGATTTGCTTGACCGCTCGCACTTTTCTGCCGCTTCCCCACAGCAGTGTTTGATCTAGAGAACAAAATGCTTTCATCAAAGCATAGCTTTAGGATGCCTTTGACATCATAGCGCAACAGGAACAGCGCATGAGTTGGCATCAACAGAGGCATAGGTAGCCCCCTCACAGGTAACGATGCGCCCACTGAGCATGCTCATATCCATTTGCAATGATCCACCTCAGATATTGGATGTTCCCCACTTGTGTCTAACAGTTATTTTTGATTTCCTTGCAAAAAATATGTTGCTGAGAAACTCTTTGCGGGCTTCCCACCCAGCTGACCTTGCTGAAGCAGAATCCATACCATCCCTTTTCTGTTCCTTTTGGACCTTGCAGTAAACCTGAGATGAAGGCGAGAAAAATAGTCAAAATTGCAAGGGACTGAAAGGACTGAGCCTAAGATCTAATTATAGTCTGGTGTTTGCTGTTGGAAAAGGTAATCATCCTTTGTCACATGATGGTTGCTGCACAGTTACGCAGTGCAACTTCTTCTTTGTCTCTGGGTCTGGCTGTGTTTGATCTGCCTGGGTGTCCATCGCCTTTTTGGATCTCTTGGTGGGTGCAGCTTTCGACTTCGGCGATGACTTGGCTGTAGCTGCTGGCCTGGGTGCCTTACTCTTCTGCTGGGTGCGCTGCTGCTTGGCTCCAGGCCTTTTCTTTGCTGATGGCTTCGGTACAGCCTTCAGCCCTAGGTTCATTTCACGAGTGTTTGTGGTGACTGGCTGTGCCTGAGCAGCGGTATTCAAATCCTCCTGTGCCCTTTCATCATCACCCAAAAGACCCTGCTTTCTTTCAGTAGCATGTTCAGCATGGGTTGGGGAGTGTGTTGGATCATCATCATCTACAATCTCCCCTTGGCCATCGTGGTCATCCACGAATTCCTGTTCCTGGTGGTCATCCACAGGTTTTGGTTCCTCTTCATCCGGTTCCTTTTCCTCATCCACAGGTTCCAGTTCATGTTGGCCATGTTCCTGTTGGTAATCCATAGTTCCAGATTCTTTTTGGTCATCTCGTAAAGTAGCTTCAAACTCGAAAGATTCCAGTTCCTGTTGGTCTGGGGTTTCAAACTCCACAGATTCCGGTACCTGTTGTTCATCACGCAGGGGAGCCTCAGACAAACCCTCTTCCATAGAGGCATGAACACCATCAGGAGGAGGGCAGGGAGCAGACTCAACATCTTTGCCAAATTCAAAGAAGTGTAAGCAAGCGTTGATGCCTGCGAGCGTTGCATCACACAGCTCCTGGTCCACAGCAACGAGGCTGGGAGGGGCCATAGACTCATCTCCAAAAAGGTTAACAGCCTTGGATAACATGTAACAGCTGCCATAGGATGACAAAATTCAAATTGGTTTCTAACCAGCTTTCAAAGTTCCGAGTAAGCCAAGCTACACGAATGGGCGTATCACCATCCAACGTATCACTACTATCCAATTGGGTCTCCTGGACAAACAATGGATCCGTGATGTTTTTGTATGCGAGCATACTTAAAACACAAACTCCTCCATTCCAGCCAGTAGATGTTAAAAGTAGTTAGTGCACACTTCTAGACGTTTCCTGCAGTGGCGCTGGTCCGCAATGGGTGTACGGATCCATGTTGGCAACGCCATCATCCGAGCCGGGACGCACAGCCTTGGTGGAAAGGAGGGCAAAAATGGGCGAACCACAATGACTCATAACCTCAAGGTCAGAGAATCTATGGCAAGGGGCCAGTGGAGATGGAGTGTAGAGCCCAAGTTGATTGTCTGGGTGGTAGCTTTCTTCCACCAACCTGGGAATCTGCAGGCATCGAAAGTATGGCAATGTATGCTACCGCCGTGTTGTATAGTGCATTGTGAATTCAATTCATGTTTAATATCTCCTAGATTCTCCAGTAGTTGTTGTTAAGCTGAAAAAAGTATTGCCTGGACAAGTAACACAGCCCATTCCTGTTTCTTCTCAATCGCGTACGCAAAGGGCATGGGCAAGTTGTCGGTTTCAGCATCCTCAAAACGCTTGAGGATAGAGAGATAGGACATCCATTGTTTACAATTGAAACAATCTATTTATATATATGACTTGCTGCAGATATACAGTTATCACATCCAGCCCCCATACCTGCTATGGTCACCAAACATACACAAATTGTGATCATTGCTGGGTATTTCTTGAAATAACAAGTTTTGCAGTTGCTGTCCTCAGCATGTTTGCGAGCTTTCTGAGCGGGCCTCTTGGTGACGCTGCTGGTCGCAGGCCTCTTTCTGGGAGCCTTGCTGCCAGTAGACCCTAGCTCATTGGCTTCATCATCTTTTGAGCCTTCATCGTCATCACCCTCACCAGAATCATCACGATCCAACAACGGTTCATGATCATCATCAACCGGTGGTTTTTTTGGTTTGCCCTTGCCCTTGGCCTTGGCCTTCCTTTTAGGTGTTGCCTTAGTTCCCCCAGGTTCATTCCCCTTACCATCGCCAGAAGAGTCATCAGATCCAACACGGCCAGGAAGAGCATGTGCCATGCCAGATCCTGGTAGGGCAAAACATGAACATAACAGGCAGGAAAGCTGGGGAATTCTGACGATGGTAAATAACACCTTCATGGTTAGCAATACCTACAGTTGGACAGAACAGAGCCACCAAGAGAAATGCTCTCCCCCTGTATGACATAGGACATAGGACCAGGACATCACCAGACCAAAGGTTTCCCAAACTCGCAAGACCCCCAAACAAGCCTTGCGCATGGCTCTCCGCTGAAGGCGTTTGCAGCTTTTTGGCGCAAGCCGCTGCAGAAGCAGGAGTGATTGGACTGGGTCGAGGAGGTGGGCTTTGCAAAGTGTTCGTTGAGAGCAGCCTGTTCAAATTGAAAGCCTTAGCCACCGGGCCGGGCTTTCATGAGATTTGATGAGACCTTCATGAGATTTCATCAACGACCCTTGATACAAGGTTTTTTTATAAGTACATTTTCTAATATATATATATATATAAGACCCTTGACCCATCAGATTCGTACAAGGGCTTAATATATTTGGTGGATTTTGGGCCAAGCAGCTGGTGGCCGGACACGTGCAGTCAAAGGGACTTCCACTACCGAGTCATCTTCGTCTTGAGACATGTCTACTGAGCTCAAGGACACCTTGTTTCAAAATCAGCTGCAGGAAGCATGTGTTTCCAAATCAAACCCACCACAGCTGCATTGCGCAGAGTGCTGCCGATATGTGAGGCGGTGTGTGTGTTCATGTTTGTTTTTTTCCAGGGCACATATGTTCTGCAATGAGACTGGCTGGCAGGGGACTGGGCGACAAAAAACAGATTTGTTTATTGGTATTTTGTACATCCAAAACGGGCAGAACAGTTTAAAATGAATTTGTTGCTATCCAGTCATTATATACACTGTATATAACCTAGTAACCGGTTTAAGATTAATACCCCCCACCAAAAGAGGGTAACGTGTTCCAAGGGAAGCTACTTGCTTCAGCCCTCAGCAATCCTGGTACAAAATTGCACTCACTTTGTGAGTGATCCGCACTGTGGATGCAACTTCATTCCTTGTCAGCAGATCTATTTATTATGTTTTTCTCTGAAACCCAAGGATTTCAGAAGCTGCGCGCATGCGGCCCCTCAGACTTAAGCAGCCTCTCAGACCAAGCACACCGTTTCGCTGTTCACTTCCAGCTGGTGCTTCAAGCACATCACTGGCCGGATCGGCATGATCAGCTTTGCCCCCTTCGAAGCAGCCCCGCTGTTGTCAATCCTTGCAACGGGCAACGGGGGGGGGACCAACCCTGCAATGGCAGCTGAATTGAAAACAGGGGGGTTGTAAGGGGTCAAACCAAAATGTTACATATGAAGGAAAGTGGCCGGCACCGCCACGCCAGGACCATATTGTCTGCATCCTTTATGGCCGGCACCGACACGAAGGCCCCGAAGTTCTTGGATGTGATGGCTGGCGCTGTCTTCTTCTTCCTGCCCTTCTCCTTTTTGGTGGTATCATCCTCGACCACCTCATCCAAGACAAACACAAGGGGTTTGACGGACTTCCAATTGCCTTCACCATCACGATCATGGTGACTCAGTTCGATCTTCGCCTTCATGGGTTCATAGTTGAAGTTATGTAGCAACTCCAAAGAAGAGTTCATTTATATAAAACAGTTCCACCATTTAACACAGTTGCACCCACCATGCCTCCCCAACATCTTCCAAGTCAGTGATGATAGATTGGAGGGTCACTGCGACTTCGGTGTTTGGCAATGCTTGGAGGTGTTGAGGGAGTGATTTTTTTTCAATGATCAAGTAGTTGGCGCCAGTGATTGCAAATGAGAACCACCTGCCATTTGCAGCTCGTGTAACTTCGTCCGCCTCCTTACCAGGCAATGTAGTTGCCAATGCAAATTCAAACACTGATTGAGAATACTGTACTGTATGACCGTCGACCGTATAATACCTTTTAGGTGCTTTCAAACGGGGAGAAAATCTTGCAATGGCTGGCAAGGCGCAGCAGCGTCCCTCCATTCTCCGCTCCCAAAGCTGAACCTGGGGCATAGGAAAGGAGCCAGTGGGGCGAAGAATTCACTTTTCTTTTCCCCTAAAAACTAAAAATAAATGGCTAGAGTTTTGAAAGGACCTACTACTCAACGCAAACATAATCCAAGAAGCATCTCGCGAAGCTGAAAGAATTGATTTTGGTTCCTTGAAGAGATGTAGATCTTGTTCTCTGAGGCAATCAGATCACATGTGTTGTTGATCTGCAAGGTTTTCCTGGGTTGGTCACAACTACCCTAATAACGGTCCCTCAAAGTTCCCACACAAGTCAACAAGCTCTACTTCTTTAGGCCGTGACAAGTTTCGATTTGGCCAATTTGGTCACATCCTCAGTCTTGCAGGCCTCCAACTTGATCCGCTTTGCAGGCCGTTCCAAAGACGCCTCTTCCTCCACCTTGGGCTCAGACCTGCAACTTGGATTGCAATCCATGTGGGGACACAATGTAGAAGCCGTCTAAGTTGCCCTAAACCCCCCAAAGGATGAAGAGCCTGGATTTGGCCATTCAGCTTTTGTGGCCAAATGGTTTATCTGTGAAGAGGTCTAGATTGCTTTTCCCCCCTGCCCCAAACGTGGAAATGTCACTACTTCTTGGTTGAGCAACCCTGGCCTTTCGGCAGCCATCATAAAATCCTCAGATGCGTTGTACTCTTCATTGTGTAGTTTGATCACCTCACGGGCACGTTCATCAAATTGTGGATCGTCCAGCCAGCGCTTCGCGAAGCTCTCCAACACGAGCAACTGGTCGTGGCGTTGGCAAGTCACCCTGTAGCTTCGGGCAGCATTGGCAGTGCTGCCACTTTTCAAGGCCGACAGGATTGGATCAAAGCTGGGGAAAGTAACTTGCAGATCCCCAGCCCGCGCTTGCTCATACACTGCATTGGAGAGCCGGTTCAGTAAGTCCTGGCCACTGTTGTCCAAGCACAGCGTAGTGCACATGCAATCCCGGCCCTCTTGACATTCCTTTTTTGTGTTCCCAAGACCACAGGGCAAAAAACATAGGGAAGCTAAACAACTTGTTTGCTTGCGGTTCTAGTTACTGTAATAATTTTCTTTGCCAACAAAAAATAATACTTTTTAATAACAACTCAGCATCTTTCAGGCATGCCAGGGCTGGCCATGCGTCGTACCCGTACATGTCAACCAGCACGGTGGTCTTCACCGAGCGAACCTGGAACGCCTCCAAAGTCTTTTGGATGAAGCTTGTGCCAGCGCCAACCTGTTTCAAAGCTTCTACATGTTCCCACATGGCTTAAGGGTATACTCCAAGTAGGTTGTTTTTTTTGCTGGAATTTAACCTCACCATTTTCACATGCATTCGAGACAACACAGAAAAGGCGCACCTTCTGTTCCCAAACTTCCCAAACTACAAATCAGTTTCAACTCAAGATGTATACTTGGGAAATTGTCCAAGCCAATATACAAAAAATTCACGAAGCACCTGCTTCTGCTCCTGAATGTCCGTAAATGCACGACCCAAATGAGGCAAAGCATGGGCTCTGCTCGGAGAGGCCTTGCAGGCTCGAGCCGGTCAGTGATGGGTTCCAGGATACGTAGAGAATTGGCTTTATGTGACCGAGGGTTTACCTGATGTGCAAGTTCAATTCCCCAATAGCAAAAGGTGGAGAAGTGGGGATTATAAATCAAGCCAAAGTTACTGTCTCTGGCTTGTACATCTCAGCCCTGGGACACATACCAATGCCATGGACGGTTCCCGTCTTCCATCCCCTTGTGCTGTGGAAGTAGTTCCTGGAGTCCTTGTGGGTGACGGCCAATCCAGTCAGAACACCATCACGTTTTCCGTACACCGTATCCTGACCAGGACTAAAGTCGAGCCAAGAATCCAAAAACAAAAAACACATCAATTTGAGTCGGACCTCTTGTGTGGATAACCTGGGGTACTTAGTTTTACAAAATCCAACCACCAGAGACATAGAAAAGCATTATAGAATTATGAAATACCAAAAAACGGGCTCGAAGATCCAGGTGATGTTCCGAACTTTTAGATTGCGATCTTTCAGTGCCAGCTGGGTCCTCAGATTGCAAGTCGGTTTTGTCTCACACATCGTTTGTGGTCGGTAACCTCTATTTTTACCTTACTATTGTCCCCATCGTGTGGATATTTAAGAGTGAGCAATTGGTTTGAGATGAGGGACTCCAAGTTGTATCTGATGTCTCGGACTTGGATTTCTTCCGACTCTTCCAACTTCAGGGCAGAATCCCTGTCATCATCGTCATCATTCTCGTCATCCATTTTGACATCAGAGGTGTCCTCTTTTTTTTCGGTGTCCTCCTGCTTCGCAGATTTCCTGCAGATGGCGTGGCCCTTGAAGGGGAGCAGTCCACGCTAGAAATAATTGAAGTACAAACAGAAGTTGCTGTGTGAGGGGTTTCAACAGTCCTGATCTCTTGACCTGCTCTGTTTGGATGTACAAGCAAGCAAATGGAGTTCAAAGGGTAGTCTGAGAGCACATTCGATATGTACGTGATCATGAATCCTTTGAAGCTTGCGCTCATGATTCCCAGCACCGGACACTGCATCACCAGCACCACTCTGTGGTCGTCAGGGCCCCCATTGCTCACCTTCTAATTGAAACTTTGCTAGGCAAATCGAAAATGAGCCCTGGTTGTCAGATTGTGTTTTTTGGTAAGAATGCATTCCAAAATCATACTGTACAAAAGATGACCCCGCAAACAAGGCACCTTTGTCAGGGAATTGGAGTTTGTAATTTAGATGGTAACACATACCCTGCCTCAGAGATTGTTTCTCTCAACCACGCCCTGCTGGCCGGCATCAAAGTCCCTTCCGCTTCCAGGGACCGGCTCGAGAACACCTTGATGTGCTTCTCCATGTAGGCAGCCACCGCATCCCAAGCGCGGCTGTGGCAATCCTGGTGCGGTAGCGGGGTCCACAACACTTGGATTTGGACGTGGTTTTGAACCATATGGTGAACCATATGCCTAAGATTTGCCAATGGAGCTGGGTGGACTGACCAATGGGACAATATTCAATCACCATCAGGAAACCTCACCGACGTGTGGGAGTTTGATACTTCATTTGAAAAACTGAGTCAAGTCAACGCCTGATGTTACGGAACATGGTTGTGCAAGTGTGTGTATATATATAGTATATAATAATGATATTATACTATATAGTATATGTTTTGGATGGTCCTCCAGCTGCTTCACCAGCTTCGCCCGGGCACGGGCTCCTTCTCTCTCAGCCCTAAGAGCCACCGACACGACGCTTCGAATGCTTCTTTTGCTAGGTTCTATATAGTTCTTTCATAACCTTTTTGTCAAGTGACCCAACTGCCAAGCATCCTATAGAGAAGAAAAACATATTGAATAAACATATTCAGACAAGACCTCTCCAGAAAAGAATGGAACTTTTAAATCTTTTAAGGCAAGTCTCATCACCTTGTCGGCCATAAACTGCGTTTGGTCGGCGTGCAATTCCTCCACCCATGCGTTGAAGGCTGCCTCCATGCTTTTCTTCAAGGCATTCCTTGATTGGTCCTGATGTTTCTCCACATAAGTTTCCAGGTTCTTTCCAGTGGCCTCCAGGGTGGCTTATTTTTGAAAAACCGGCATATTGATAAACAGTCACAGACTGAACATAGTCTTCATAGTTTGGACCAGCACACCTCCAAGACAAAGCTGATCCTCTGCCATTCCAGGTTCTCCTCGGCGGACTTCATCACCGAACCAAGGTCCGAGTCCAAGTGCCTTAGTCAGTACATGTTGAATACCCGTTTTTTAAATGTTAAAATGCATAACATGTTAAAATACTTATTTTAAAGAAGTCAGGGGAAAACATCAGAATTCTATCAGACACCAATCAAACTCCAGCATACAAAATGAAGCTTTCAGAAGTGACGCGGTTTCTGGAAACCACATCACAAAAAACCAGGTTTTCGAGGTGGGCAATCATTTGGAAGGATTGAAATCATGGTTCAAGGCATGATTGCCCCCCCCCTATATCATTGATTTTGTGACGCGGTTTCCAGAAACCACATCACAATTTCAATCAAAAATTTGCCACCCAAATGTGATTGATTTGGCCGGCCAAATTTGTTTGGCTAGGTCTTCAAAATTGTGACGCGGTTTCTGGAAACCACATCACAATTTTGAAGACCTAGCCAAAAAATTTTGGCGACCAATCACACTTTGATACCTTTAGCCAAAAATATTTGGCGACCAATCACGCTTTGATACCTTTAGCATTCATGTTGGTACCTTTCGCCAATTTTGACTATTAACCATTCGTACCATTGCAAAAGGTCAGGTATCTTAACTTGTAGATAGGGCACCCTTCAGCAAATAGCTCATCATGCCGATGCACAACCTCACCGTCAAAGTTTTTGACCATCTTCTCCCTGACCCATACCCAAAGGCAGCAGTTGTCAAAGAGCACATGGTGAGCATCTTCGTTCAGCTGGTGTTGTTTCTCATCAGGGTGAAAAACAGAGTTGGCACCACAGTATTGAGTAATTCTATGTAATTCTACAATATGACTGGCAAACCATTGAACATTGATTGAAGAAAACATAATGATTGGTGTGACCCTCTCCTTGGCTTTCACAGTTGCTTCCCTGGATGCCCGCCTGGAAAAATCCTGGCAGGGAGTGATGAGAAAGATCAACCTTGAAGTCCCCCCAGTTGACAAGAACTATTTTGTAAACCACTGTAAATATATAAACAGTTTCAATGCAAGGTCCTGAACCACCCGCTGGAAGTATACCATCGTGATCTCCTCTGTGACGGACAAAATTTGTTGGTATACTTCTTTCCCACGATACCGCTCCAAGTCTTTCCGGGCGCAGGAGCCCGGGACATAGAAGTCCGATGTCAACAAGTCATGGGGGACTCCTGTTCAGGGATTTTTGTGGGCAGCAAATTCCAATATCCAATATCACCTTAAGTTTGAACATGTTTGAACATACAAAAGAAAACACCCATTCAAAACCGGGATTGGGATTGTTTCTTCATGTGTCCTGAGTTCTCCGCTTTGTAGCTGTCGTAGTGCTTCGCCAGCAGAGTCATCAGGTCAGAGGGGCAGCGCATCCTGGGCTGCAAGCTCCAATGCAGAGAAGGCCCGCACTGGGTTGGAACAAGAGGGAGCTAACCCCAAACGTTAGATCAGAATTGGGTGGCAGAACCCCTAAGCTCAGTTGAGCTTCAAGTTCAGCACCAGCGACTTCTTACTTGAGTCCAACCTGTGTTTCTTCACAGAAACCATCTTGTTGTAATCCGCTATGACCCTGTTCAGAATGTCACGCAGCGGTGCATTCTTGGCGTGCGTTTGACGTCGTTGAAGATCCACTGCATGTTGCAGTTCTGCCACCAGTTGTACTGGTGATGGCCCTTGCTTCTCCGCAGAGACGAAGCCCGTTTCTGAGCAAACGGTGCAAGAGGGAAACTTTCAGAATCAGGTAAGCCAAAAAACTTTGGGTGCGAACGCGGAAATCAAAGAAAACATGTTCTGGAGTAAAGTTCAAGGAAAGGCTCTCAAGGAGTACAAGTAAAAATGAGCAGGATTCTCAAAATGCTCGTAGGAACATCTGATCTGAGAGAAGCTTGCTAGAACCATCTGGAGGTGGGGATCATCAAGGTTGAGATCGAGCTCTCGTACGATGGCGACAATTGTCATCATCAGCACTATCTTGCAGTGTCCATCAGTCACCCCGACTGAAAAGTCGGGTATTTGTCTGGAACTGTCCCTGAGTGGAAATTTGCACTCCACGTTGCCGATATTGCTTTTGTATCCGAACTTGGCAAACTCATGGAAGTGTGTGGTCAGCTGAGTATTCGCCGGAAAGACTGCAGGGACATGTGTTAAACATGAACACCATGTTCCAAACTAACTAACAACTAGTTGAAAACTGAACGGATTCCTGTTGATTACTTCCAACCCTCAACTGTAAGAACCCTTTTCAACCCCGCACATCCGTTTTTTGCGGTTGCAGTGTAGTCGAAAGCCGACAAGGGCAACCAAAACTCATCCATCTTCTCATTGGGGGTGAGGTTGGTGTGGACCAAGTCGAAGATTGCCTCAAACGAATCTTATGGGGATAGGGCGGCAGAAACATACTGATTTTATTTGCCAGAAAATATTGAGGGCGATGCAGACTTCAGCTTTGCTGGATCATGGAATGTCTCCGCCAACCAGGCTCCAACATTTCTTGTAGCCGCAACCTTGGTAGAGCTGCATTAAACATAGCATAGCTCTTAGTTTGGACATGGAATTTCAGACCGACGGAGGACGGATAGTCAAGCTAAGTAGCTGAGTCAAAGTAGGCTCGAACTTGATCCATGGGACCATTTGGCACTTCTGGCTCACCCTCCATTTTCCAAGGAAAGGCTTCCTACCCAGCCCACCCAACTGCCACCAACACTGAGCCAAGTTGCCCAACAATGGGAAATTTCAATATTGTTATTTGATGTGCTGACAACACACTGGCTCACACTGCTTGGACAAGATTCATTTCTATTTTTATCAAGCTCAGCACCCCAGAAGCTAGTTTATCGGAAGTTCCCCTTGCTACACACGAGCACGATGAAAAACAACTTGGAGCTCGTGTGGCTTTGGACCACGTGGCCTTTGGCCAACCCCAACAGCACCCCAATCTCGGCGACCGTCTGTGCTTGCACGACGGAGGAAGCTCAGCTGTGGCACCCGCCCGCTAGGCCGGGTCGAGGCAATCATGCTCTCATAAAAAGCCAGGGTGCGGTTCATTTGTGGAAAATCCTTTCCCAAAGCAATCTTGAGGGTACGAAGTTCATCCCGCCTTTCTTGTTCCAAGTGGCAGGTTCGCACAGGACAATTGATGTCATTTGCGCGATTCAACATCTGTTGGCTCTTTTCAAGGAACATCCCAGGAAGGACCAATAACGGGGGCTGAGAAAGCCCATCACTGGCCATTCGCTCCTTAATCATTACAAAAATATCATCCATTGCATTTCCTGCTCGCATGGCCCTGGGTACCCGGTCACTCAATTCAAGGTTCCTTCCTTGGTCGGGAATACTTGCAACAAAGGTTTTTCCAGCCAAAATGGGAGTAAGAATCAAACAATATGAAGTTGAGAAAATGAGACCTGGCCTGCTCTGGCCATAAAGCTGAATGACTGCGGCAGCGGAGTGCCGTCCATGTTGTCGATCCATTTTCTGGCTCTGAACGCATTCTTGAACGATACCTCATCCGGCAGGATCGCCACCCAGTCGCGTACCTGGGCCACCCGGTCGATATTTCAGAGTAACCTGATCCTTTTTTTGTTCAATAAGCATGTGCTTAGATACAGCCTAGCTACGGTGTCCACTATCTCAATGGAGAACACCTGACCCTTCTCCCGCCACAGATGACTCAGTTTGGACTCTATCCTTCGTGCAACGTCAGCAGGTGTTTGTAGAAATTGGGACTGACATGTCCGGAGGGCAACCGCCACCAAGCTGAAAACAGCGTCGACATCTTCGTGCGTATGGCCGACCTGCAGGTGGTGACATGAAGCCACCACCCACAGGCCGGCCTGTGTCATCGTTGACAACATCTTGGTCGTGTTCTGGTTACGGACCTCTTTGACAGTGTTGTCGGCTTGGATCCATAACCTGATAAGTAAGGCAGGTCACAAGTAAGGTTAAACCATTCAATAGATACAGATAGGTAGGAAGGTTAAACCTCCAAGCAACTCGGATGGGTAGGCTTTGTTCTGGGCCCTCGCTCTGACAAACACTCCATCCAATGCCCTCATCACCTAAGAAGTTCACTGAGTATTCCCCAAAAAAGTACAGCAGAGTTTTTATTCCTGCACTGCACCAATACATTCTTTGAAAACCAAGAGTCGCATTCCCAGTTCCAATTACTCCCAGCAGACATGCCCTCTTGTGCGGACAAGAACAGCCAAATTCCGTGTCCATGGCAAAGGACAGCAGTTAGGACAAGCGACGCTCCTTAGGTGGAACAGACGTCAACGGGAAGTGGACGGATAGTATTCCCTTAGAAGTGATTAAGAAAAAACAGCAGGATTTATCAAAGTCTCGCTGCATGGTTTCGTAGATTGTCCTCTTAGGACACCGGCCCAGGGGCCACATCGGTAGTTGAAGCTTTGATCTGTCAAATGAATCTACGATTACACAAAGGAGGTCACCCTCTGTGGCACTTCGAGCACGTGCCGACCAGTAGATCCTGCGATCCTTGTACTGGTCGTGGTAGTGGGACAGTAACTGATTGCAAAGCCGTGAATGTTCACCAAAGTCCTAGTCAAGTGGCAACATCCAGTAAAGGTTGTTGGATTGTTGGTTTGCTCAACTACCTGCTTTCTGATTGATGTCCCAAACTGAGGCTAGTTCCACTGCATTGTTGATAGCAGCTTTCAGGGTTTGGCAAGTCACACACATGGCATGTTCACTCCGACGTCTAAACCTAAGACATGTAGACCAAGTGTTGTAGACGTTGTAGAAGGTGCTTTTCCCACACGGATTTTGCATCGATCCGGCTTTGCACCAAGCCAGGTACATCAGGAATAAGGATGCAGTGGTGCCTGGCGGCAGCTCTCGGAGAGGCAGTTTGCCAGGGTCCATGGCTTCCATGATTTCCACTGTGGGACCACTCAGCTTCCTATTGATCAGTTTTCTCATCAATTCCTCCTTTAAGTCCTCTTCTTCACGTGAAAACTCAGCATCGGAGGAGACAAACCTAAGATTTCTTGACAAATGGATTTGAGTGAGCTGAGAGCAGTAGAGCGAGTTTGAATAAGCCAAATTGAAAAGATAAGTCACTTTGTCGGCATGGACTCGCCGGCAGTGTAGTACAGGTGAGTGAAGAAGGTATGAGCTGATGCACTTTGCTCAGCAGCTCGTGTGGTTTCTCCTAGGTCCCACTGCTTACACCCAACATGTTTCATGATTGCACCACCCCGAGCTGACACATAACCTGCAGCCATAAGTCCTTGGCTGATGGTTCTCTCATCGATCCCATGGTAGGCCCTTTTGCAACGTTCAAGTCTTTGCTTTCCAACTCCCAAATATCGGGTCCACGCCACCCTACACAAAGGGTGTCCTGGGAAAACTGGCAAAGAACAATGTGTCTTAGCTATTTGTATTCAATGAAGTCTGTCCTTCAATGCTCCAGGTCCTCTTCAATGACCCTCCCTCAGCCTGAAGTGTCCAAAGCAAAGCATCCTGGCTTTGCTTTGGCAGACTCCAGAAGCCCTCGCAGGCCTTCTTCAAGACTGATGCTGGTAGCCGGCAGGCGCAACTACAGGGCGGGTGCTTCAAGACAGCGGATATTCGGGCAGGGTCAACCCCATGGGCAGCAAAGCTGGACTCATCAGACTGTTCATTCAAAGTGTGCATACCATAGAGTGTGGCCAGTTTCAAATCTACCTGTTGAGCAACTGGTGGCCCGTTGTGACCTTCGTCATGCTCATCTGTCCTAAGATAGGGGAGTAGGGGAACTGGAAAACCCCGGATTTCATTTGCTTTATATAATAAATATACATATTATCTGTTTCATGCATTTTTGCTGTCAAGATTCGAAGACGAATCTGATTCATATGATTCCTCAGAGGTCTCGTCATATCGCCACACTGTGCCCCCTCGAGGCTTCAGCTCATTTGCGCCAGCATCGTACCGGCTCAGGACAGGCATAGCTGGGGTGAAGAGGGACGACTTTTAGATTTCCCCCTCAAGGGAAATAGGTTTTGAACATGGGAACGACCAGCAATAATCAAGTCTGATCAACAGTCCAAATTTTGTTTCACATTGCGTTGTAAACAAACAGGCGGAACATGGCGGCCATGTTTTCCATTCCCCCGCAACTAACAGCTTTCTGCAACCCTGCTTGAATCCCCTACTATACGATGTAGCCCTTTACATAGTGTGGATTCACACTCTTCAGGGCCACTGCAATTGCAACCATCACGCTGCGTAGCGTCATGCCGTTCCCAGCCAATTTGAAAAGCTCCTTAGTTACTGTAGTTTCAACTCAGCTGCTGCTAAAGTTCCTGTCAAGACACGCGATCGGAGAACATGCTGGTGTGAATGTCGTCGACCGGCATGCCATGCAGCAGGAGTGCCTCCACCCCTGAGCGTGGCTGGGGGCTAGGAAGATAGCTTGAGAGTTTGGACTGCTCGACATTGCTCGACCCTCCTGCCTGTCAAGTAGCGACGCTGGGGCCCTAAGAAGTACTTCCCATTGGGCCTAGGGTTGCACGCATGTACCATCATGTACCTATTGGTTGGAGCTTTCTGTTTCATGTCAATATATATACTGAGAGAGAGGCGTTAGGCATGGCAATGCGGAACGCCCCTTCACCACGCCCATTCTGTGGAGCATTTGGCTGGTATTCACGCAAGCGAGGTCACGTCCATACTTCTTTGCCAGCAGGTCCAATGCCTAGCAGAAGAGGAAGAGAGAACCCACAAAACCAAAAAAGGAGTGAACACATACTACATAAGTGCAACAAACAAGCCTCAAGTTCCCTTTTGGTAGTAATTTGATCATCTCCTCCCGGGAAGGCTCTCTCGAAGCATCCTTTTGCGATCTTCACCTGACAGGAACATCTGCCGGAGTTGTTGGGGAGTTGAAAGGTTCTTTTTATTGAACATCCATGTTTGGAATGAGGGCCTTGATCCCATTCTTTTTGGCCCAGGTCTTGTGAACTTTCTTCCATTTGGATCCAGTAGTTGGGTTCCTTATATGGCACTAGCGCATTCAATTCCGGAACACACCTCAGATGTGAACCAGTGTGTTTGTAGAGCCAAGAGTCCTGGTGTGGAAGAAGCATTTCTTTCGGTTGGACCGCTTGTTCATGGTGTTCTGCACTACGGGGTGGTGTTTCTCCAAAAGCAGATCCGTCCTTAGCTGTGTGACTATGTTTAGCTATTTGTAGTTGTTTGGTGGGATGGCAAGAGACGATATATAAATAAGCCTAAGCACCAGCATACATCCGGGGGGGCACCGCAACTGCTCCAAGATCTTTTCACAGAAGCTGGCAAAGTCGGACTTTGC